AGGACGTTCGGCTAAGCAAATAAGCCAGGCCCAGGAGCAGAAGCCCCTCGTCCCATGTGTGAAATCTGCCCTTTGCCAAGCCCAGCACAGAGGAGCGGCCACCAGAGCCTGGGTGGGGGGTTTCAATTCCGCCCCATGAACTCCACGCCTGCAGCACCTCGGCCACACAGCAGACAGCGCAGCCTCCTGCCCTCCAGGTGTGAGGAGGGGCCCCAGGTGAAGTGTCCACATCATAAGAACACAAAAGAGTGTGGAGCAGACACCAGACAGAGGGTGTGGCGGCTCTGGAGGAGGGCGCCCACAGACCCGGCCCCTGCACGTGCCCCTCCTCGCCACACCTGCCCCTGGGTGCCGCCGTGTAAGCAGTACCCTGCTCGGGCCTTGGAGAGCCTGAAGTTCAGCTGCACGGCCCCGGGGAGGTGGCAGGGAAGGGGACGTGAATCCGACAGGGGAGCAGGGAGAGGTGGCCTTGTGCGGCTGCCAGCAGAACCCGCGCCTTTCTTCCTGTGACGGCTGTCCTGGAAAGAATGTGGTGCCTGCTGGACACCTGGACCCACGGGTGGGGACGGGGCTGCTGGGCTGTGGTCAGGGAGCAACCTCCACCTTCCCCACTTCTGAGTGAGTTAGCATTGGGTGGGTGGGGGGCTCACTCCATTTGGGCCAGAAGAAGAACCCATGAGAGGGGCCAAAAGGGCCCCCTGGACATGAGGTTTCTGAGCAGGAAGAGGGTGCCAGGTGATGTGGGCAGTGCAGGGGTCACAGCAGAAGCTGGGCAGAGGCACACTACAGACAGCCCGTGGCCAGAGACAACTCCAATGGCCCCTGCCAACCAGCCTGCCTGGGTGGAGGCAGGAATCCAGCCAGGAGGAAGGCTGGGGAGGTGACAAGGGGCTGGAGCCCCCCCGCCAAGGCCAGAGTACCAAGAGGGCGCGACTGTGCCAATCCCGACTCCCAGGCGGCGTCCGTTCCAGGCTCTTTGCACCTGAGACCTGGACATGCACTGAGGAGGACACACAGAGTCTCATGCCAGACCTGAAGGTGACAGGCTTGGGCAGGAGCCATGTGTGACCGCACCTCTGGTCCTTCACATGCCACGCAGGGGTCACATGAGGCCCTGCCCCTCAGCCCCCTGCACTCACACAGGGCCAAACAAGGCCAAGGCTCCGGAGCTATAAGTGTGGGGCTGGTGGGGGGAGGTAGCATTGTTCAGTGCTGTCCCCAAGCACCACCCTTCAGCTCCAGTCACAAGGGAGGCCTGGCATGGCACTCACTGACTCCCAAACCAAGCAAGGTCTGTGCCACTGACACCAGAGAGGAAAAGAACACAGCCCACACCCAGCCAGTGGAGAGGAGTGGGTCCCTGAGGGTCCACCCCGCGGAGGTCTCTGGTCACATTATGCTAAGGCACAGCCAAGTGGGCGCTGTAGCCCGTCCGAGGGTCTGCTGCTCCCGCTGCTGACCTGACTGTGGTGGAGGCTCCTGGCCCCTGCGCAGGTCCACCCGGGGCCCCCTCTGTGCATCTAGTGAAGATGCGGCTGGAGCACAGTCACGGCGCTCTGCACACTTGGAGCCACCCCAAGGAGGAGTCCTCTGCCTGGCTGGGCACGCTCCTGGTAACTGGCCCACGCTTCTGCCCTTCAGCCTGCGTGTGAAGGCTGGGAGGGCTGGTAAAGCCTTCTCGTGTAGGAGGTTCGGGGGACACATAGCCTTGTTTGTGCTGTGGGATTATGTCTCGCGGATAGCGTCGGCTGTTGTGTATCTGTCTCTCTCAATCTAGCTGCAGGAGGTGACCTCCAAATAAAGTTAATTTAATCTGCAGAAATAACCCCGCAATTGACTTTCCTGAAACTGATATTAGATGAAATCTCTGTTCCGCTGAGCCTGCCTGTCATTAGCTATTCCCCATGAAAGGCCTAATGTACAGCATTTAAAAATCTCCCCCGATGCTGTCAGATTTCATAAACATGCTCTTTTATTAAGGAATTAGCAGTGTGGCTGTGGGCTTGGTGAGTTGGGCAGAAACCAGGACCCTGTCCAGGGCAGGCAGGATTCCCGTGAGTGGTGGCAGTGGACACGCCAGTGCCCCTACCCACAGAGCAGGACAGGTGTGGGGGCCCAGGAGAGCAGGAAGGGAGGAGCCCACTCTCCAGAGCCAGGGGCACGCATCACCAAGCTAGGTCTGGTGGGGCTGGGGTCACCACCACCCAGGGCAGCCGCCTCCCCCGGGGAGCCCAGAGCACACACTGCCCACTGCAGCCTCTCTCCTCACTGGCGGGTCAAGGCTGGCTTTGGGTTTCAGCTCTGTCCATCCCAATCCCCGACATTGGGACTGTTACCCGCAGTGCCTACCCCTGGCTCCCTCCTCTGTGGAGTGGGGGTGCAGACGCCCCAGCAGGACACACACAAGGAGCGCCACCCAGGCAAAACCCACCTCTGGGGTTCAGAGGAACAGATGTCACCCATGCACGCCTTCAGACCACAGTGGGATTAGGTGGGACATCAGTGACAGAAGGACACCTGGGAAATCCCCAGACATGGAGATTAAGCAATGCAATCCTCAGTAGCACTGGGTTGGAACAGAGACCTCAGGAGAAGTTTTAAGATATTGTGAATAAATGAAAATTCTAAATTAGTGGACTGCAGAGCACCAGTGGGGGGTGGGAGCCCCCAGCATGAGGAACACAGGAGACAGTCAGACTAGAGCACCCGCAGTTTCCACCTCAGGAAGGGACCAAGGAACAAACCAAATCCAGAGCACGCAGCAGAAGAGACGTCACTAAAACTAAGGCAGAAACAACGAGATCAAAACCAGGGCAGCAGCCAGACCTGCTGAGAGAGAGGAGAGGGTTCAACCCCAGCATCAGAAAGAGGCCGTCACTCGAGCGCCTGGGTGCTGAGGGCAGGAAGCCACAGCTGCCAACAGCTCTGTCTGCACAGTTGATGACCTCGGTGACACACAGCGCTTCCCTGAGAGGCAGGATCTGCCAGATCTTACAGAGAAGCAGGCTGTGTGAGCAGGCCACGGCTACCAGATAAATGGAACCAGTAATTAGTGACATTTCCAAACAGAAAGCCACAGGCCTAGATGGTTTCACTGGTCAGTTCTACCTAATATCTAAAGAAGCAGCTGTCCCCAACCCTGCAGTGTCTGTCTGAGCAGAAGTTAAAGGGGGTGTTTTCTAGCACACTCTGTGAGGTCAGCATCACCCCGACATCAGAACCAGACAGAGGCTTTGCAGGAAAAGAGGGACAGCCGTCTTGCTCGTGAGTACAAACGCACAGCTCCTCAGTGGGACGTGCACGAGGCCAACCCAACCACACAGAAGAAGAATGACGCACACGGATGACGGCATCCCAGGTACACAAGGTCCATTAATGTGACCCACCCCATCAACAGGCTCAAAGCAAAACTGACACGATCCCATCAGTGGACGCAGAAAGACGTGGAAAAACAGCAAATCTGGATAAAAACTCTCAGTAAACTGGAGACAGAGACCCTCCTCAACTTGACAGAGAACATCCACAGAAACCTGCAGCTGCCGTCACACCTGCCATGGGAAACTCGATTGTCCCCTCCACCGTTCCCATCCTCGCACTGGAAGCCCAGGCTATGGGACAAGACAGGACATAGAAACCAAGAGGACTGAGGAGGAGGAACAGGCAGACGTGCAGATGAGATGTTCACCTGGTGGAAAAGGAGTCTCCAAACATGGACCGGAACCAGCAAGCGATCCTGCAATGACGCAGAGCACACGGCTAAATCACCAGGTCAGTACTTTTCCAGTGGTCAGCCACGAACAAGGGGGATTTGAAATTAAAAATCACACTCTTTGCTCTAACAATCCAAAAATGAAATACTTAGACATAAATCCAACAAAATATGTCCAAGATCTACATAAGGAAAAGTGAAACTAAGGCAGACACAGAAATCATAACTGAATGGACAGCGAGCTTCTGAACGCTCTTCGCAACTTCAACCTGGAGGCCCAGAGAAACCCAGAGACTCAGACAACTGAGTCACCTCCTCCAAGACTGTCACAGTCTCCCGGTGCCACTGGGGATGCTCGACATTTACTCAAATCAGCAGAACATCTCCCACCATGAAGTGCCACCAGATGTGGAGATGAGTCAGGAAAGTCGTAGAGGAGCCCCAGGGCATGTCATGGGTGAGAGAAGCCAGCCTGAGAGGCTGCGGCTGTGCCACCCATGTGCCACCCTCTGGACGGAGACCGTGAAAGGCCAGCGGTACCTGAGGGATGGAGCAAGGGAGGGTGGTGCCCCGGGGGCAGACACGCATCACCGCACAGGCACAGGGTGGACTCCCTCGAGCCATGGACTCTGGTGATTATGTGTCTGTTGACTCATCCATGGTGGCCAGTCCTTGCTGGGTTAGCTGGGGCCACCGTGTGTATTTGACAGGGGTCACGTGGAAAATCCCTTACACTCTGCCCAATTTTTTATTTTCAATCAACTCACTTTTTCTATGAACCTAAAACTGCTTAAAAAAGGAAATTTTAAAAAGTGTTTAAAAGAGAAAATGACAAGAAATTTCCCAAAATTGTCCAAAGACATTAATCCACAGATTTTGGGAGTTCACTGAGCTCCAAGAGGTCATATAAGGTGAATTTAAACCTGGACACAGGAAGGAGAAAAAGTCAAAATTCAGTCTCACTTTGTAAGAAACAGTGACAATCCTAAATGTAGTGGCAAAAAAGTGATTTTCATTGCATTTAAATATAAAAACAAAATTATTGCCTCACTATTTAAAATATTTGTAATGGAATGGAGGTGCATAGTCATTGATGCTATGTATCATCCAACTTGTTAGAAACTGAGTGAGCTCCTGTTGCAAGCTGCAGTTGTGCCGCAGTCTGGCTGGGCACACAATCACGAGCCACCACACAGCTTGTAGATTCAAACAGCAACTCTTTATTCCCGAACTCACACCAGCCGTCTACAATCACGTTCTGGGGAAATCCACGTTCACTTCCCAAATCCACGTTCTCTGCCCAAATCCACCTCCACTGGGCTTCTATCTCCAAAATATATTGTCTGAATCCCGTGAGAACTCAAGGGGAACTCAGGCAGCAGGATACGCCCTATTCCCAGCAGGAATAATCTTAAACCTTAAACCTGGAACCTAAACTGGGAATGCCCTAAACACGATTATCTTAAAACCGGGAACACCCTAATCTGCCTTGGTCCTTGAGCAAGGTCACATACATTCAATGTCACTGCAACATGGGGTACGCTGGCAAGGAAATTGTCATACCTACTTACTTGGCTAATGGCTCCCAGCACAGTTGAAACAACTCACTTACTTTCTTACTTCATGCTCATATTTCTGGTGAACCCTGCACAGGACTCTGGCCTCAGATAACGTGGTTTTCTGTAGAGGGTTTGTTGAGAGCCTCATCACAACTCCTCTCCCAATGCACAGACACACCCACACCCAATTGGCAAGTTTTCATTTCCAAGGGCTAGGAGAAATTTCTTCTAGCCTGAGTTAATATTTCCGTTATTAGCAAACTGGATTAAAACCACATGAATGCATTATGATTTTGGTAAATAATTAGTAAACAGAAGAAAGTTTCTAATGCATCCTCTAATGTGGTTGACGAGGTCTCTCCACATTTAACGCATGATCCCTTAGATAGGTGAGGAATGGCTGGAACAGGGAGGTGTTCAGCCTCCATTTTATCATGAATTTTAGGTTGTTTTTAATCTAACTCCTGGATTAGTGTCCATAATTAAGGTAGTATGCAGGGGACTTGGAAATCACAGGTGCCTGAGTCGCTGGGCTGTGGGCTGCCTCATCTGCGGGATAGCGGGCCGTGTGTGGGCTCCACGCTGTGGCCCATGTGGCCCTTGCAGAGCCACACTTGGTAAGACCCCCTTGGCAGTGGGGTCTGTCTCCCTCCTCCTGAACCAGGAGGGACACCACGTGAACTCTGAGGCCAGGACACAAGGGGTGATGCACCCCACGGTCAGTCACCAGCTCCACCCCTGGCACAGCACATCCAGAACGCAGGTCCCTCAGGTGCTCGGGGGTGAGGATGCCACACCTGGAATCCTGCAGGTTGCTCTTGGAGTGCATGAGGGGTGGCCCCTGAGGAAAACAGGGTGCTGGGCCCCGGGTGCTGGTCCCCAAAATTAGAAACGGAAGCAGCAGGTGATCTGGCCACTGTGGGGGTGAACACACAGGAGAATTCAAACCAGGGTCTCAGAGACACTGGACCCCGGTGCTCACAGCAGAAGACAGGCAGCAGGAGCCCAGGCACCCAGATACGTGCCAAAGTGAAGGTCCACCATGAGGGATGCCGCGCAGCTGGGAAAGGAGGCCCCGCACCGTCTGCACCAGGGCAGAGTTGGAGCTCACATGATGAGTGACAGGACCCATGAGCGACTAGAACTGCACTTCACAGAGATACAGAGACGGGAGGCAGAATGGCGGTGGCCAGGGCTGGCCGGGGCGGCCACTCACATTCAGCAGGCCTGGGTTCAGTGTGGGAGGTGAGAAAGTTCTGGGGATGGGTGGGGGCTGCGGCTGCCCAAGGCTGGGCACGGGGGGCCAGGTCCACTGAACCACAGGGAACTCAGACAGGGTTCAGATGGCACCTTCTAAGTCGTGGGCACTTGGCTGGGAACTTCAGCGGGGCTCAGATGGAAGGTGGCGCGTCGCTGTGGGGGCTGCTGTTTAGGAGGCACCTTCCTGCTTCTCCTGCCTCCCCGGGGAGCATCTCAGGTCCGGCTTGCATTTCGGCCATGTCTCCCCCTGTAGTGGTTAGTTTGCTTCACACCTGACTCTTCCTGGTCTTCTCAGCACCTTCCTTTCAGGATTTTCCTGGCCCCCTGGGTTTGCCTCTGAGTTGCTTCATTGAACTGATGCCCGGAGCCCCAGCTTGGCACCTCACATCCAGCCTGGGCGTGGTACGCTGCCCGTGCCGTCCACCGTGTCTGCAGGAGCAGGCAGCTCCCAGGCTTGTGCTTCTTGCCCGGCACTGTGCACTCAGGTTTGGCAGGGCCTGGGACAGGTGTGCCCTGGGGGCAATTGCCTTTGTCTGTGGCAGGTGACCCAGAGCATGGCAAGTCCAGGTACAGTGGAGGCTGATTCCTTGGTTTCACAGTCTGCAGGAATGTGCAAGTCCCATCCAGTCGATGGCAGGCTTCCCCGGGGGGCTCATTCCCTTGGCTCAGGGGCTGCGTTCCTTCTCGTTTACCCTTCCTGGGCTGCAGCCCCTTGAGGCCCCCTCTATTTCTTTGCACAGGAGCTATCTGCAGGAGCCCCTGGCCCCAGTGCAGGTCCCAGGACTCAGGGGCTCAGAGGGACCCACTCTCTGAGCCAACCTCACCTACAGAGGAGGGGGTTAGATGGCAGGAGGCTCCAGTGAGCACTTCCCCCAGTGATGTCCCTTTGAATTGACACTGTCACCTGGTGCTGCGGAGCCCCATCTGTGTCCTGGGCTCCCTCCTGCACCCTGCTGTGCCTCCTGCCCCTCCCCTTCACCCTGGTCTTCCCTCACGCTTCAGAGGCTGGCGTGTGGAGCATGGGCATCTGGGGTCCCCAGGGCTCACTGTACCCTCCCCAGGCACCACTCGGGCAGGACACACTGCTGTAAGGATGTGACACGGGCCACGTCAGCCCTCACACCAGGGCCATGCTCCCACACCTGGGGGTGGCTAATGGCAAGCTGTGGCCATGCCAGGGAGGGCAGAGGGACAGAGCATCAGGGAAGCCACCACATGCCTCCGGGCTCTCCTCTCCACCTGAAATCTGCTGGAGGAATGCTACGGAGGGCCAAGAGGCGTGGGAGACGGTGAGGTCACAGGGTCCCAGATGGCAGGCCAGGCATGGGGTCGGCGGGTGCTGCAGGCTGGGCTACGCTGCCTGGGTTAAACCGTGGGGAGCCGGGGAGTGGACCCCTGTTGCCTCTGCTGCTGGCCACAGGGAGCTGAGATCCGCCCACGGGGCACCTCCAGGACAAACAGAGATGTTATTAAAGAAAGCAAACCCGCCTTCGAAGTCCCCCATATTCTGAAAGGCACTGGGAGGGCAGGCGTCCACCCCCTCTAAACGGCTCACTTGGTCTGAGCGCAGCCGCGGAGCTCCTCTGGCGGATGGATGGAGCCTGTGAACTGGCCGTGGTGGGGGCCGGGCGGCTTTGTTCTCAGGCCCCCCCTGCCCCCAGCTGGCTCCACAAATGCCAGCCAATTGCAGCGGCCCAGGGGAGGGCAGAGGGAGCGCCGGGAAGAAATCACTGAGGTCACAGAGGGGTTAATAAAACTGCCTGCAGAACCTTCCTCCCGCCACCCCTTCCTCATCCCTTTCTTTGACTTCAGGACCCAATTCTAGGGAATATGATTGCTTTATCCATTAATCTCCGGGAGTTTAGGCTCTGAGCCAACCTGCGCTCCTGGGCAGAGGCCACAGGTGCCGGCGCTGAGAGATGGGCTGCGGCTCCTGGCCCACAGCTCCGCAGCTCGTTTTAAAAATAACCCCGAGAGGCTCCTCGGGGGGCACCGGCTCCCGAGCCACGGTGAGGGGCCCAAGGGCCCTGGTGATCCTCAGTGTGTGCTTCCTCCTCTGGGGAAGGGGGGACAGGCGCCCTCCACCCAGGGTCTGGTCTCTATCTATCTATCTCAGCTCCCCAATCACCTGCCAGCAAACCCCACGGGTGTCCTTCCAACCTTCCCTCCTCCAGCCACAGACTGCTGAGCGCTGGCCCTGTCAGGAGCTGGAGACCAGCTAGAAGGCTACCGTCCCCTGACCCTGACGGCCTCCAGGTTCTCAGCTGGGCAATTGTGGTACAGGAGATTGGGCCCCTCCCGGGGCCAGGTGGGAACCACGCAGCCTCGAAGGAGCAGCAGCTGGCCCTCTTCTGGGAGAACACATGGGGCAGGGGCCGAGGCTCGTGGGGAGGAGGGGGAGGCTGCAGGAATTTCCTGCCATCTCAGGTCTGGGGCAGGGCTGGGGCTTCCAGAGAAACCCTGGCTGACCTGGTACCACCAGGGAGGTGCAGTGGGCAGTGGGTGGGGGAGACATGGCACCAACCTGGTGCTGGCGTGGGGCTCTGCGTGTGTCCTGTATCTTCTCTGGTGGACCCATCGGCCCCGGGGGCACATGAGTGGGGAAGGCAGTGGGGATACTTGACGCTCCACCTGCTCCACAGAGACAGGACTGGCCTCTCAGTGGGCCTGCAGGCAGCCCTAGGTTGGTCCCCCACAGGGCCTGGCACCTCCCTCAGGGCCCATCATGCCCCTGTGACTGTGCCACAGGTTGGGCATTCCCCGGGCTCCCCACTCCCCTGCACCCTGTCACCAGCCTGCCCCAACCACGCTCCTGAAAGGGCGATCCACCATGCAGGAATCCAGCCTTCCCGAGCTCCCCCCTCCAGGCTGCTCCGTGTCCCCCACGTGTGCACGTCCCTGGGCAGGCCCTGCACGGAGGCCAGGCCGGCCTTGGAAAGCAGGATCCACCGGCCTCCCCTGCCTTCCCTGTGGGTGGAAGGAGCCCAGCATCCGGGCACCACCAGGGTCCTCGCAGGCCCTCCCCTCAGCCCTCCCCCGGCACTGCCCTGAGGCAGCTTGTCCCCTAACCCTGGGGCGCCTGAAGTCTGCCTTGCCCAGGAACCTCTCATCTGTGCGCCCGTGACTCCCTCACACTCGCCAGACGCCATGCAGCAGGCCCTCGGTGGCCGCAGCCTCCCAGCCAGCCCTCCCCCCCATGCCCCTCGCCTCCTCTGCCCGTGCTGTGGTGACCTCTGGCCTTGTCCACTTGTCCTTTCCCTTGTCCGTCCCTCTGCTACCCTCTAGCCCATGTGCTGCCAAGCACAGGGACACTTCTGTCACCCTACGGAGCCAGTGCAGCCACTTAATCTGTGAATGGAGGACGAGCGTCCCCCGGGCAGGCATCTCACTGAATGGTGCCTGCAGACCCCAGCTGGCCACTGCCTCTGTCTGTCAGGGAGAGACCCTGGCCCTGCAAGGTCGAGAGGCTGGCCCAGCGCAGTCTGGGGAGCCCGACTGTCGCCCGAGCCTCGGGGACCCTGGCGGAGGGAGAAGAGGGATGCGGCTGCACTGGCACATGCCCTTGGCACATCTGTCTTCATGTTCCTTCCCCTTGACAGCAGCCCCGGTGCCCATCGCGGGGCTGCGCAGATTCCACCAGCTCCAGGCACCATGAGGGTGCTGCGAGCCGCCTCCCCTGTCGGAC